CACACACACACACACACACACACACACACACACACACACACACACGTACACCCCTCTCCGTTCCCCAGTCCCTTCGTTTCCATGCTTTTCCCCTCCGTGTATCGTCTCTTTCTAGCTCGTCGCTTCCCACTCTCGACGTCTCCGTCTCTTCGGCCGTCGCGTCCGCCGTTTTGTACTGGAACGCATGCAGGATCGATAATCTCCGAGTCCTATATAAAATGTCTATAAAAGCGAAGTGGAAATATGCGCGAGGGAGACGACCGTGACAAACGCGCGGAAATGGGGAAAAAATAAATTAATTAAGGGCGACGCCGCCGCTGCGCGCATCGGCGCTAGACGTCAGCGCGAGACCACCCGAGACCTATATATCCGGTATAAAGAGCCTCGTTGGAGAGAAAGCTACCGGGAAGGAACTTGGGAAGGAAAAAGAGCCTCTCCTGGTGCTAAGGTGAGACCCGTGCTTGCTGTGGCAAAACCATCGTCGCTAGGTATATCCCCGGATGCGAAAGCGATCTCAACTTTATCATCGTAACCGATCGCTCAATATTACGGCAAAACTCGTTTCTTATTGAATAACAAGACGCCCAAGTCGAAATATCAAATCTAAAATTAGTACTCGGACTCCAATACGAAAGAATTTCAATCGACGTGTTCGTTAATTTCGTTAAAATCTTTTTCGTCAAACTACGGAAAGAATGAATTTTGCTCAAGTATCTAGAAAATTCAGCTCTGAAATACAGATCTGAAAATAATTTCGTTAGACTATATGAAAATAATTAAACGTAGGAATCTCAAGCACGATGAGGGAACGCTGCGAAAACTTTTGACATTCTCGCAACCAGTTTAAGCGTCCTAATTATTTCGACGGTTGAACAACATTATTTTCAGATCTGTATATCTGGCTAAACTTTTAGATACTTTCGCAAAACCATTCTTCCCGTGTATTATCTAAAACGTCCGAAAGTTTGTCTGTGATTTATAGAGAGGCGTTAAATTTAATTTAATTAAAAAATATTACTATCGTCACACAACACACAACGCAGATACGAAACGCGAGTGTGTGTTATGTGACGACACACATTTCTCAGCCCCCGACTGAGAATAAGTATGAGATTCGTAATCATCGTATCCTCGAAAAATTGTCGTTGAGAGTTCGAAACGCGTTTTACTATTCTAAAAATTACCGGCCGGCGGAGGGCGGACATGTGCCCTTCATTATACACCTCGATATATCCTTCCCTCACTCCAACTTTCTCTAAAACCGTCTTGCCAGTCGGCGTCTGCGTCTCGTCTAACTGCACAAAGAAAGAAAGACGGTGAGGGAGAGGGAGAGGGAAAGAAGGAGACGCGAACCGTGCAGCTCGCACGGGCGGCCATCTTTCCTCACGCTTGGAAAAGAAGAACGACGGACTCGGCTGACGGAGTAACCAGCAGCGTGCGGAGTTTACGCACACCAACGCCCGTTGCAACGCAACACGCTCAACGCACACACAGGCAGACACTCTGACAAGCCGTTATCCCTGGAGAGGATCAAACGTACGTCCGAATCAAACACGAGCGCGCGCGCCATCGGCGGCGAAAACTTGAAAATTACCGGGCCACACGCTCGCAAGAAATGTCCCCGCGAAAAACCATCGCAGAAAAAAATCGAGAAAAAAATCTAATTGAAACGATGAACGAATCTCTCAATAAAATCTAAGATTACATCAATCAAGAATTGCCTCAATCTACTAGAATTCTGACTAGAATTTAACTAGTTTCTGATTCGTTCGTTTTCTAACTAACACACTTCATCAATTATTCAGATCCAACCAGACATTCTTTTTAATTTTCGCGTCTTGAATCCTTTTCGAAGAAACCTCGTAGAGATTATTAAATTAAATATTGTTTCAAGATATATTACAGCTGACGATGGTTTAAATCTCTCTCTCTCTCTCTCTCTCTCTCTCTCTCTCTCTCTGTAATTAAGTGGAGACGTTTCGTATTCCGTCGTGACGTCTCGTCATAACTCGAAACATTGAGAAATATTGCTTGTAATTATAGCGGCGTATTAACGTGGCTTTCCGGAGTAATCGGAAAGTATGATGTCCCATTAACCTGACACCGCCTTTCCGGTCATTCTAGGCTACGTACTTTAATAAGCAAGACGGATACCGGCAAATATCGTTGACGTGGCGTACGAAATGCCGCTAGAAGAAGAATGACGTTATTAACGGCGGCGTCTCGCCGGTCTCTCCCGTCGAAGCTCGTGAATACGTCCAGCCTTGGACAGTTTCATACGCTAGATCGCTCGCGCCCGCGGGCTGCAACTAAATTACGGTAATTGCAAACTTTCTCGTTGACGCGCGCACGCTGCGTCCCCGGCGGCGCGCGGCGTTGCGATAATTAATGCCATAACAACAGACCGACTTGGGTCCTCAAGAAACGCAGGTGTAGCGATCAACGGTTAATTCCACCTCCCGCGTTTGTCTTTATATTTGTGAGATCCGAAAACGGGAGAAGAGCAGGAGGTTCAGTATCATTACGCATCTTCATTTCTTATTTAAAAAATAAAAAAAAATAAAAAAAACAATTGCGAGTCGTGACACTGCGATGATGAGAATAATTTTTGGGGGATATTAACATAAACCAAAGGTGACAGAATAAGTGAAGGCGATTCAGATTTAAATACCGCAAAAATCAAATTCGACAATGACACATTTGCAACTGCATGTTTGTGTAAATTGACTTTTTCTATCGAGAGATAAAGAGGATGACTGACCGATATGAAAGTTGAAAAGTCCGGTTTTGTTATTGTTGAAGAATACAAAACTGTAACTAGTGTTTTCGCTAATAAACTTTCGCGTTGACTCACACGCTTCGTCTTATTACATACAAATAATTTTCTCTCCAACGTGATTACGATGGCATTACGAGCATAACAGTGTTGTTAGATTTTTTTCTTTTCTTCGTTTGCGACGCGTCCCAAATCCACGACGTTATTTTTCACGTCTGATACTTTATGTGGATTCAACTTAAACTTGGAAATTCCAAAGTTCAACTAAATCTGGACCTGGAGGCTAAGTTTACACCCATCGGTCTTGCATTAACAATACGAGAGAGGAAGAAATGGAACGTTGGTAAAAGGATTATGTTGAAGCTTACAAACGCGATCCACGCATCCCTCCTCCTACGTCCCTTTCCTTCTTTCGTGGATTTTACTATTTTCCCTTGGTCGCCCACGTTTGGTTCGATTCAAACTTGAACCAAAGGCAGGAAGGAAACGCGAAACTTGGCGACTGTTTTCAAACTATTACGGATTAACCGCATTTCGGTCACGCCGCCAACGGCAGTAGCGGCAGTAACGGCACACGAACAAGCGAGAGAGAAAAGGAGAGAGAAAAGGAGAGAGAAAAGGAAGAAGGAAGAAAAACTGACTCACCGGTAATGACGTCAGCCGTG